TACAAACAATTTCGAGATTTAGTAAAGAAAGAAAAACACGATAGTTGCTTTTATTAAATCAAGAAATATCCAAAAATTATAACCAAATTAAAAAAAAACTAGAAACCAGTCAACATTTAATAAATAATTAAATAAATAAATAGACATTAAAAAGATTGTTCAAAAAGGTAAAAATTAAGGCGACGACGAGAATAAAATGTAGTTTGTTTTGTTGGTGTGGGGCTGTGAAGCGAAAACAAACACATCACAAAAAACTAGTAAAAAGTCGCAAGAATAGTAGTCAGTCACCTACCTACAATTAAATTACTCTCAGGGCCCTAGCTTACTTATAATCATTAACTCAACTCACCCACCTACAAATATGTTTTTCTACGTTTTTGGAATTTTACACGTTTTAGGTATTTTATTTTACATATTTCAGCGTTTTTATTTTACTTGAAACTTTTTAACTAATGTTAAGCCCTAGCCTACCTACGATTGTTCAACTCATCTCAATCCCTAACTTACCTATGAATAAAATTAAGTCCGGTAAAAAAAATAGAAAGTTGAAGAGAAACATAACAACGACACCGAATGAATGGATGTTGTGTATGTGTGTGTTGTATTGATGTATGTGCGTAAATGTGCGCGCGTGTACTCTCCAGAAACTTCTTATTGTCATCTTAGAATTGTCATCGGAACGATCATCATGAGACCACCATCTGAAACGTGCTGACGCCCGCCACAACCCACCTCTCATCATTCTGCAGACAAATTTTTTTATTAGCCTAGTAATAAATGAATGTTAGAATCTTGGAAGAAAAAAATTATAAATGAAAATAATGGCAAATAAATAAACTTCTTATTACCCTCTTCGAATTGTCATTGGAACGATCATCATGAGACCACCATCTGAAACGTACTGACGCCCACCACAACCCACCTCTCATCATTCTGTAGACAAATTTTTTTATTAGCCTAGTAATGAATGAATGTTAGTATCTTAGAAGAAAAAAATTATAAAATGAAAATAATGGCAAATAAACAATATTTTAAAATAATAGAGTAAAATGTAAAAAAAATTTACTTTCGTCCATTCGACAAAGGCAGAATGTTGAATGCCTGAGTGAGTCAAGAGTCAATGAATTAATTAATGATTCAATGATTAAAAAAAATAAATTAATGGAAAAATAATTTGAAAGATTGAGTGAATGAATGAATGAATGAATGAATGAATGAATGAATGAATCAATCAATCAATCAATCAATCAATCAATCAATCAATCAATCAATCAATCAATCAATCAATCAATCAATCAATCAATCAATCAATCAATCAATCAATCAATCAATCAATCAATCAATCAATCAATCAATCAATCAATCAATCAATCAATCAATCAGAAAAATTAAAAGAAGAAACTACTAAACCTTAGTTCAAAAATCGTCGTTACAGTACTTCATTGCACCGACCACCATCATCTGGTCGGCACACATGATTTCATCCGAACTTCTGATTGTCAGTCGAACAGCCAACGCGCTGATTTTTCCTACACCATCATCGTCATACGTAAATCATCATGAGACAACCATCTGAAACGTGCTGACTCCCACCACTGCCCACCTCTCATCATCCTGTAGACAAATTTTTTTTATTAGCGTAGTAGTAAATGAATGTTAGAATCTTAGGAGCAAAAAATTATAAAATGGAAACAATGGCAAATAAATAATATTTTAAAATAATAAAGTGATTAAAATGTAAAAAAACTTACCGTCGTCCATTCGACAAAGGCAGAATGTTGAATGCGGTTCGGTTCCTACGTTGTCCTCCAAAACTGGTGCCATGCCTCATCGAGATTGTTGTTGAAACACAGCCCGTGTTGATGGAGAAAAAGAAAATTCTCATCAGAAAGCTTAGCGGTGCCTGCATCTCAAATTGCTTAATAAAAATAATCCTATCTACCTATTCAAACACCTTAGCTAATCTATATTAAATTGTTAATGGTACGATAGTCGAAAGTCCTCCTTCATTCTCCCTCCTTGCACAGAGGTTCACCGACAGCCAGGGCACCGGATAGTAAACCATTGCCGTGCGGATAGTAGACTATTGCCGTGCGGATAGTAAACCATTTGCCGTCCGGAAGCCGTGCGGGTAGTAGACTATGGCCGTGCCGCATGGTAAATCATTACCGTGCAGATAGTAAACCATTGCCGTCCGGATAGTAAACCATTGCCGGTTCACCACTGGCCACCAAGGCTTACCTCTGACAAGAGACTTTGAAATCCAGAGTCAATCGGCTATCGTACCCTCAACTTACCTATTCATTACAATTAAGCCCTAGCTTACCTAAAATTACAAAACTCAAGAGCCCAATTCATTGGCCTTTCGGCACCCACCCCACCACCTACGTAATGCCTTGGGCTCCGACATAATAATAATAATATAAAACTTATAATTAACCTACATATCAATACACTTACAGCGTTTTAATTTACATTACAAGATTGTTCCTAGAATTACATTATCGCCCTTAACTACCTATGAAATTAAATTACTCTCAACCTTAGTAATAATAAATTAGAATGTGTATTGAAAATAAAATTACGCTCAAATACTAATATATGTGTTTATGTATGCAACTGTGTGTGTGTGTGTGTAATACGCTAATGCGTGTAATGTAGATGCGAGATAAAATAGAAGCGATAAACTTACGCGCCTACCTATTCAACTACATTAGTGTTGGATGCTTCCTATCTATCCTACCTACAATTAAAATTATGTCTATCTAACCTACCTATATAGCTACTTAATGTAATTGTGTGTGTGTGTGTGTGTGTGCGCGCGTGTGAGCATTCTTACTTATTGTTAAATTACAGAGACAAAAGAATAAAACGTATCCCAGCCAGGCGTGCATTCTTTGCCTCTGAATGAATGAAAGTAGCCTGACATCTTCCATGATGAACTCCTCTGGAAGCTTTAGCCTGAATGAAACAAAAAAATCTTATTTATTTAATTAATTTAAATGAAAATAGAGAAACGAGCCGCGGTGAAACGCGCCAGCCGGAAAAGCCAGCCAATCGGCAAAAAGAGAAACCGCAAAGAAACCGTAAAACGAACCCCAGGCAGGCGTGCATTCTTTGACACTGAATGAACGAACGTAGCGTGACATCACAACCATTCTGATCTTCCACGATGAACTCCTCCGGAAGCTTCAACCTGAATGAATGAACCTGAAAGAACCTAAATGAACGGACAAATCTTATTTATTTAATTAATTTAAATGAAAATAGAGAAACGCAAAGAAGCCGACCGGTCGGCAAAGAAAAGAACCTCAAAGAAAGGTATCTATATAGGATTTACGCTCTATATAACTCTATATAACTCTATATAACTCTATATAACTCTATATAACTCTATATAACTCTATATAACTCTATATAACTCTATATAACTCTATATAACTCTATATAACTCTATATAACTCTATATAACTCTATATAACTCTATATAACTCTATATAACTCTATATAACTCTATATAACCTAGCATACTACCACATTCAATCAATAAAAATTTCACTAAAACCTGGAACCACCGCGTACCTGTTATATGTATGGTGTGAAACAAAAAAAAAAAAACACACAACAAAGTAGAGTAAAAGAATAGAAGTCCCTAACCTACCTATGTAACTAAATTACCTTATGCCCTAGCCTACCTATATAATAAATTAATTTTAATCTCACCTACCTATGTTTCATTAACTTAACTCAAGACTCATGAAGGAAGAGAAAAAAGAGTAAAACAGAACATAAAATACTACCACACAAACAAACATGATGTATGTATGTATGTATTAGCAACCGCTAAAGAACCCACCTAAAATATAAAAAATACAACATACAAACCACAGACATGCAAACTCTATATAACTCTATATAACTCTATATAATATAACTCTATATAACTCTATATAATAAAATAAATAAAGATAAATAAATTATAAAAATAAAATAAATGAGATCAGACAGACTGCTTCAAGCGAGGCAGAATGCCTGATCTGATTTTCATGTTGTCTCAGCTCCTCTATTTATACTCGTTTCAACCATACATTCTCATCATTTCAATCATTCGCATCAGTAAAAAACATATTTAATGTATGTAGTACGCTATTATACAGTCTTAACCACAATGCTAACCGTACTAAATTGAAGTCATCGAACGATTTTTATATAAATTCATTATAAAAGCAGCAGTAATCAATGCTACATATGTAGGCACGCAGTTCAAATTTTTCGAGGAGAATTCAAAATAGTTTGAGACCACACCTTGCTTAACATCCAATTCCAAGCCGAGCCAAGTCAAGCTGAGCTAATATGCGTAGATTTATAAGCGCTTTTCTATTAAAATTTTGCTCGCTTTGTATATATAGTATATAAATTCATTATTGAAGCAACAGTAATCAGTGCTACATATGTGCGCACGCAGTTCAAATTTTTCTGAGAGAATTCCAAATAGTTTGAGACCACACCTAGCTTAACATCCAATTTCAAGACGAGCCAAGCCAAGCTGAGCCAATATGCATAGATTTATAAGCGCTTTTATATTAAACTTTTGCTCGCTTTATATACGAATATCCAAATATAACAAATTTTCCATCCTATTTTAAAAATTTTCATTGATGCTTTTTAATCAGTCAGGTCAAAATCATCATCATCGATATCGCGGTGAAATCAAATTGAAAATTTTTTGATGATTGTTGATAAAAGTAACATATACATATATATATATATATATATATATATATATATATATATATAGTAAAAAGTTCAAATTTTTCCGAGAGAATTCAAAATAATTTGAAACTACACAGTTGTACAATTTGAATGTGTAAATACAATATTATAAATGTATTATAACTACGTATATGTATATATATATATATATATATATATACATATATATATACATTTTATTTATTTAAAGGATAACCAAAAAAGATAAACTTGTGGATAGGCCACCCTTAACTAAGAATTCCAACTGTAAATGTAACAGAAATGTCAAATAAATACATACACACAAATTCTTACTATCAATGTAACAGAAATGTCAAATAACTACATACACACAAATTCTTACTATAAATGTAACAGAAACGTCAAATAAATACATACACACAAATTCTTACTATAAATGTAACAGAAATGTCAAATAAATACATACACACACAAACATATGCTCACACGTACATCATTCTATGAATACTGTCATGTTTCATATAGTACCTAAAGGTGACAGTATAGTCACAACTGAGACTGAAAATTTCGCTTACTAAGAACATCAAAATTAAATAAGTTGTTAAAAACTATTTAAAATAAGTGTTTTTTTAACTAAAAAAGTTTTTAGCTAGTTTTTAAATAAGTGTAATGAGTTGATTGTTTTAATTTCATGTGGCAATACAGTATCCCATACCCTTGGACCATTAAGTTTGATGCTTGAGTGAAAAGCTTTTAATCTCACAGTATGAGAATAGAAAAGGGAAGTGTGTCTAGTAAATTTCCTTTGAATGTCATTGCTAAAAGTGAAAAAGTTGGCAAAATAATTAGGCAACTGTTGACGTAAAAATTTAAATATTTTGTAAAATTAACAACTAATTTATTAGAATAAACCAATCTACGAATTTTTGCAATTCGTGGTCACTTTCCAGTTTAAAATTCCTTGAAGTAAAAAATATGTTAGTATCGTCCGCATATAGTAAAATATTTGCCGAATCAGTCACGTTGACAATGTCATTAATGAACAAGACAAACAAAAGAGGTCCGAGAATAGAGCCCTGCGGAACTCCACTGTTGATGTTTAGACATTCTGATTTAAATCCTTCTAATGCAACATATTGCTTTCTATCCCTAAGATAGCTTTCACACCACGAGTAGGCTACACCTCTTATTCCATTCATATATAATTTCTTCAAGAGTAATTCGTGGTTTATGACATCAAACGCTTTTGACAGATCTATGAAAATACCTAAAGTAAGATTTCTGTTGTTTAAAGTCTTGAAGACTTTCTGAATCAATTCAAGCACAGCTAATTCGGTCGAATGCTTGGGCCTATATCCATATTGACAATTGCACATTATGTTATTTGCAGCCACAAACGATTTCAAACGAGTATGCATTATTCTTTCAAGTATCTTCGAAAGGGGTGAAAGAAGAGAAATTGGCCGATAATTGCAAGCATCCTCTGGGTTACCTTTTTTGAGAATTGGAACACCCTTAGAAATTTTAAAACAAGCTGGAAATATGCCTTGCGATAATGAGAGGTTAATAATATGAGTCAAAGGAACAAGTATTTCATGAATAATTTTTTTTATAATAAAGTTACTTAATGTATCATCTGAAGTACTTTTTTTATTTTTCATGTTCGTGACTATACTTAATATTTCTATTTTGTTAGCAGGTTGAATATATATAGAATTAGGTAAAGTATTACATAAAGGGCTATTATATATATATATATATATATACATATATATATATATATATATATATATATATATATATATATATATATATATATATATATATATATAGGGTATTATATTCTACATACATATATAAATGACTAGGATGCAATTAGGTGGCTATATAATCATTCACAACTGAAAAGTCATTTATAAATTAAAAATATTTGTACAAATCTCAGGGATGAACAAAATCAATGTTATTTAAAGGATGTGCAGCTTTTATAGCATACATCGGGAAAAAGTCTAACTAACAAGTCTAGCATAACAAAGTTGTAAATAAGTAAAATATGGTAATTTGGGATTAAAAAGTATCATTTTTTGTATTAGTTTCTATCTATCTATTAGTTTCTATTGATCTAAAGTTTATTTGTGAAAATCCTCATGTAGTATATCAAAGTATTCTTAGCTCACTTATCAAACCTGATAAAAAAATTATACTATATTATTATCAGCTAAGGTTTAGAGGCTTTAACAAGTGATAACAAAATGATTGAAAATGAAATATTTGAAAGATTCATATTCGATATATATATATATATATATATATATATATATATATATATGTTGGTAATAGACCATAATTTTTACAATATTCTAATTCTATTTTTAGAATATTGTAAAAATATATATATATATATATAAATATATATATCTGTTGGTAATAGACCATAATTTTTACAATATTCTATAAATTCTACCGAATGTTTGGCGTTAATATGTTTGTAGTTCGTTTTTTCGATTTTTCTCACTAAAGTTTTTTGGTAAACGTTTAAATTATT